TTGGTTGTAGTCATTGCCTTCATTATTGTCTTGTTACCTCTTAATTGTTGAGTTTTTCTATGACTACGTGCATATCTGCTACATGTCCAAATTGTTTTGATTGCCTGCATAGTTATCACGTGCCTTACATGTCTTGTTAGTTTGTAAAGGTTGGTGGATTCCTTTGATTTTACGTGATTCCCTTGGTGCCTTGTACTCATACTATTGGTTGTAGAAATTCTTGTAAATTGAGTTATTGAGTTGTTATTGTTGATTTGAATTATTGTACTGGGAATCGGGTTGCACGCCGCAACATGTGAAATAAGGGAGGTGGTGGAATAAGGGAGGATATTTCTTGTTATGATATTGATATTATATGGCGGGATCGGGTTGCACGCCGCAACAGGTGAAATAAGGGTGGATTATTATGATGAAATAAGGGTGAATTATGATATTGATATTATATGGTGGGATTCGATTGCGCGTCGCAATATATTTTGTTTATTGATATTGTACGGTGAGATCGGGTTGCACGCCGCAATTGGTGAAATAAGGGTGAATTGATATGGTGGAATAAGGGTGAATTATGATATTGATATTATATGGTGGGATCGGGTTGCGTGTCGTAGCATATTTTGTTTATAGTTATGATATTGATATTGTACGGTGGGATCGGGTTGTACGCTGTAACAGGTGAAATAAGGGTGAATTGATATGGTGGAATAAGGGTGAATTATGATATTGATATTATAAGGTGGGATCGGATTGCGCGCCGCAACATATTCTATACTTCGTATTCCCTATTTTATGGTATTGCCTTCGGTTTCTTTCGTACGAGACCCTGAGAAATTGTATTTCTGGTTTCATTGTTTTTTGAGGATTGAGTTGTTGTCATTGACTTATTGCCTTGTCGTCATTTCCTGAGCTCCTTTCCTAATACTTTTATTCTGGTGAATTAGTTTTCAAGGTGAATTTATTACGTGGAGTCATTACCCCCTGTCCTGCTGAGTTGTTAGTAATATAGTGAATTAAAATAAAATAATTAACATCATGCTACCTAGTGTGACCTTTAAGTTAGAACTCGCCGTATATTTCAGTATTTACTTTTTCCAAGAATCGTTATATTTAATTTCAATTGATTTCGCAACTTAATCTCCTTAACCTGTCTGAGGTTTTTATTTTACTTAAAAAGGAATTGTTATTATGTTTTAACTTAATATATTCAATAATAAATGCAACAGCTATTCGATGTTGAATTTATTTTGAAATTGTTATTTTCTTCACTCAAATGATTTCTAAAACAAAGCTCATCTTTCTCGCTGATTTCCTATTTGGTCTAGAAACTGTAAATTTACTTTATGATATATAAATAGAATCTCTTAAACATCTTAATTAGCAATTGACACGGATATTATGTACCGAGTAGCACATGAATTCCGTCGTGCAAAGTGAGATGGAAAGATGTGAGCACAAGGTGTCGTGTGTGTTAAAGGTTTGGAAGTTGTGGTTTATGGTATGAGATTACGAGAATTGGAATTATTGGAATCGTGTATTAGAAACAATTTGTTTGGTTGAGTTGACAGTTTTCCCTACTTGAGCACATTTACACTTATCTGTATCCCAACTATGTTGTGGTTTAATTACTTGGCTATCTCTTGTTGTCATTCGTGTTTTCCTTGTCGGTACTACTATTTGCAATTCTATTTCTTTCCACTATTAGTATTACTTGATATCCCTTCCTGTTAGCTTTATGTTATATCCTGCACAGGTTTATATGTTCTGTAGGCGTCTTGACTTGGCCTCGTCACTACTCTACCGAGGTTAGGCTTGACACTTACTGGGATACCACCGTGGTGTACTCATGCTACGCTTATGCACATTTTTTTATGCAGAACCGGGTACTTCGGATCGAGTTGGTTTTGAAACCTATGCTTGGTGAGGCTGGAGACTTCAAGGTAAGCCTGTTGGGCGTTCGTAGGCTCCGAAGTCAACTTCTATTATAATTATTTTCGTTGTTTCCTTCTATTCCGGAGCAGTGACGTATTCAATATGTATAATTACTCCTAAAAAGTCTTACAACTTGTACTACCAGTTTGGGGATTGTAACTTTGTATAAAGATTTCCATTTTGAAATTTGTTCGATGTTAGCTAAATATTATTGTTATTTTAGTTAATGTTAGGCTTACCTAGTTTTAGAAATTAGGTGCCATCATGACTCCTTCGGAGAGGATTTTGGGTCGTAACATTATTCATTTGCAGAAATAGCAAATTAAATGCAAGACGCATTTACGGATCTAAAAAGGATAACAAAAACACATATTCCTGCAGAGAATGTTCCAATCCGTATTGATGTCCCTGTTGGAAATCTTCTAGTGTCATAGCTAATGAGTTAAAAGCACTCTTAAAGCGTGGCAGACCATTGGGTTCTAAGGATCGAATCCTAGAAAAAGAAAAGCAAATGATCAAGATGACACTACAAAAGAGTCTCATGAAGAAATCTACGGTTTAACCAATCTTGAGATTCATGAGCAAATCACTGAGCCTGATACTCAAGAAGATAAAGAACTATCAATAAACCCAATCGATATTGAGACAAATTTGAACCGATTGGATATAGTGGTGGATTATGTCTTTATATATAATGTTGCATCTAGCATTATACAAGATAGTGAATATCTTGAACCTTAATCTGTTGGAGAATGTCAACAAATACGTGATTAGCCAAAATGGCAAGAAGCGATCCAATCTAAGTTGGATTCACTTGCGAAACGTGATATTTTTAGACCTGTAGTCCAAACACCTAATGGTGTTAAACCTGTTGGCTATAAATAGGTCTTTTTACGTAAGAGAAATGAGAAAATTGAGGTACAAAGATATAAGGCACGCCTTGTTGAACAAGGATTTTCACAAAGGCCTGGTGTCGATTATGAAGAGACATATTCACCTATTATGGATGCAATAATATTTCGTTATCTCGTTAGTTTTGCTGTCCATGAAAAGCTTGACATGCATTGAATGGATGTGGTTACCGCCTACCTTTATGGCTCACTTGATAGTGACATATACATGAAAATACCCGAGTAGTTTAAAGTGCCCGACGCACATAATTCAAAGTCCTGGGAAATATTCTCAATCAAATTGCAAAGATCTTTGTATGGTGTAAAGCAATCAGGACGAATATGGTATAACCGTCTTGGTGAGTATTTATTAAAGGAAGGTTAAATGATGCCATTTGACCATGTGTTTTTATAAAGAAAACAACATCGGAATTTGTTGTACTTGCCGTATATGTTGATGATATAAACCTTATTGGAACTCCTATAGAAATCTAAAGGGCAATTGATTATTTGAAGAAGTAATTCGAGATGAAAGATCTCGGAAAGATAAAATTATGTCGCGGTTTGCAAATTGAACATTTGGCAAACAAGATTTTCGTTCATCAATCTGCCTACACATAAAAGGTATTGAAACGTTTTTACATGGATGGAACATATCCATTAAGTAATCCGATGTGGTTTGATCACTTGACGTGAATAAGGATCCGTTCCGACCTTAAGAAAAGAATGAGGAGCTACTTGTTCCTGAAGTACCATATTTTAGTGCAATTGGTGAACTAATGTATCTTGCTAATACAACAAGGCGTGAGATAACTTTTTCAGTTAATGCCTTAGCAAGATATAGCTCTACTCCTACAAGGAGACACTGGAGTGGAATCAAACACACACTGTAGTATCTAAAAGGGACCACCGATATGGCCTTATTTCATGGCAATGATTGCAGTCTCGATTTTGTTGGTTACGACGATGCTGGGTATTTATCTGACCCGCACAAGGCTCGATCTCAAACAAGCTATGTGTTTACATGTGGAGGCACTTCCATATCTTGGCGATCGACTAAGTAATCAATTGCAGCTACTTCATCTAATTATGCTGAGATAATTGTTATTCATGAAGCAAGTCGAGAATGTGTATGGTTGAGGTCTATAATACAACTTATTCGAGACAAATGTGGTTTGAAGTGTGACAAACTACCCACGATTTTTTATGAAGACAATGCAGCATGCATAGCCCAATTGAATGGAGGATTCATAAAAGAAGATAGGACAAAGCACATTTCACCAAAGTTATTTTTCACACATGATCTTCAAAAGAATGGTGATATCAATGTGCAATAGATTCATTCAAGTGATAATATGGCTGATTTGTTCACAAACTCTCTATCGACGTCAACCTTCAAGAAACTAGTGTACAAGATTGGGATGCGAAGGCTCAAGGATGTGAATTGATGCTCTCATCAGGGGGAGTTAATACGCGTTATACTCTTTTTCCCTTACAAGGTTCTGTCCCACTGGGTTTTCCTTGCAAGGTTTTTAACGAGACAACCAAAAGGCGTATTTCTAAACATGTGTACTCTTTTTCCTTCAATAGAATTTTTTCCACTGGGTTTTATTTTAGTTAAGGTTTTAACAAGGCACATTATATGTTGTATCGACATTCAAGGGGGAATATTATAAATAGTATTTTATTTATGGTGAATGTCTATATTTTAGAGAGATTTTAGGGTTGTTACTTGGTGGCTAAGTCACTTTTTCCCTATAAATAAAGGGGTCCTATTTCAATGTAATTCATCCCAAATCAATAAGAATTCACTCTCTATTTTTTTCTGCAATACTTTTCTTCTTCTTCTATTGTTTTATAATAGCAACTAATTTGGACCAGATATATTTAGTAACCACTAAAACTAATATGGACAGGAGGCAGTAGGTCTCTATTCTATTTTATATGGTAATATTTCTATTTATCCATGCAAAAGGAGTTTCGACATATTTTTATACTTAAAAATGATTAATTTTAACTGTCATTTTTTTTTCTTGATAACATGACTAGTACAAAAATTGATTCGATATGCCAAAAGCCATTAGATATTACACGTACTTTTGATACATTATGAATTTTACCTATGTTTTACTAATATGAAAGTGAGAGTAGCTAATTCGAGTACACTTTGGCCTTTGTCTTTGTGCCTTCCAATTTTCCCACTTACAAGTCATAAAAATCAAACTAGTGACTGGATAACATTCAGAACACGTAAATCAATCCAAACAACAACCAAATATATGGCTTCTATTCAAGATTCAAACTAGAATCAAAAACCAACTTAAAAACCTCCATCAATCTAAACTATTTCTACACTATCATTGTGTTCTTTCAACCCCAATTCCTTCAATAAAAGAAATTCTCACATTAGTCACAAATTATGGCTTCTTCAATGGCCAATTCTTTGCTCTCTTCCAACTTCTTTGGATCCCAAATCTTTGTTTCTCCTCCCACCCCCAAAACCACAAAGATTTCTCATTTATACCCCAAAAGAAAGTTTTTTCCAGTCCCACAATCAATTCTTAACAAAAAACCCAATTCAGATAAAGTAAAGTATTTTCCTTCTGAAGCTGCTTTAGCTGCTCTCCTTTTCTCTTCAATAACTCCACAAGCCTTTGCTCTTGACAACACTACACCAACAGCTCCACCCCCTTCAGTGGTTCAAGCTGAAACACCTAAACCCAACCCTTTAAATCCATCTCCTTTTTCGCAAAATCTAATCTTGAATGCCCCAAAACCACAAGCTGCTCAGTCATCCTCTGACATTCCAGATGGTTCTCAGTGGAGGTACAGTGAATTCTTGAATGCAGTTAAAAAGGGTAAAGTTGAAAGGGTTAGATTTAGTAAAGATGGAACTGTTTTACAGCTTACTGCAGTAGATGGCCGTAGAGCCAGTGTAATTGTGCCTAATGATCCTGATTTGATTGATATCTTAGCTATGAATGGTGTTGATATATCTGTTTCTGAAGGTGAAGGTGGTAATGGTTTGTTTAGTGTTATTGGGAATTTGTTATTTCCCATACTTGCTTTTGCTGGTTTGTTTTTCCTCTTCCGGCGGGCTCAGGGCGGGCCTGGTGGGCCTGGCGGGCTTGGCGGACCAATGGATTTTGGCCGGTCGAAGTCAAAGTTTCAAGAAGTGCCTGAAACTGGAGTGACATTTGCTGATGTAGCTGGTGCTGATCAGGCCAAGTTGGAGTTGCAAGAAGTTGTTGATTTCTTGAAAAATCCTGATAAGTATACTGCTTTAGGTGCTAAGATACCAAAAGGGTGTCTTTTGGTGGGACCACCTGGTACTGGTAAGACCCTTTTGGCTAGAGCAGTTGCTGGTGAGGCAGGTGTGCCGTTTTTCTCATGTGCAGCATCAGAGTTTGTTGAGTTGTTTGTGGGTGTGGGAGCTTCTAGAGTAAGGGATTTGTTTGAGAAGGCGAAGTCGAAAGCGCCTTGTATTGTGTTTATTGATGAGATTGATGCTGTTGGAAGGCAAAGAGGGGCAGGGCTTGGAGGTGGAAATGATGAGAGGGAGCAGACTATTAATCAGCTGTTGACAGAAATGGATGGGTTCTCTGGAAATTCTGGAGTTATAGTTTTGGCTGCAACAAATAGACCAGATGTTCTTGATTCTGCCTTGTTGAGGCCCGGGAGGTTTGATCGCCAAGTGACCGTTGACAGACCTGATGTTGCTGGTAGAGTCAGGATTCTTCAGGTTAGTGAACTTCCAGCACTTCTGTATTGTTCTCTTTGTATTCTGTAACTTGAATCTCACCTAGTATAATGACATTATGAATAGGAATCTTTGTCCAGATATTCTGCAATTCTATTTGAGCTATGTGGACTAACTACATTCTACATGCATTTGATGTCTATATGTGTGATTCACCTTTTTCCACTGTTTTAACATCTGCAGAAAAGAACAATTAGCTATCCAGTTCTGTACTTGCAGGTTTATTATTAGGAAAACTAGTAAAAGAAGAAAAAGTTAGTGTTGCAGTAGAAAGATGTATAATTTCGAAATAGAAAATGCACGTGCCATTTAGAAAAAACAAAGCTGATTGTAGAAGTCACTAGCATGAAATATTCCTGTCTATTCCCCGATTTTGCACAAGGATAAAGGTCAATTTGCCACTGTACTATCCGATTGAGCAACTTTCCCTCCGTTAAACATTTGCTCTAATCTTACCCCCGCCCTGAGGAAAATATCATTTGTTGCGGACCCTTAATGGAGCTCCAAGCTGAAGGTAAACAATAGTCGAAAGTAGAGAAGTAAATTTGAACATTTTTTCTCGGAGACTTGGACACGTGGAGTCCATCCATTTCACGATTGTAACAGCCCAGCCCGCTAGTGATATTGTCCGCTCTGGGCCTAGACCCTCACGGGTTTAAAACGCGTCACTAGGGTTTAAGGCTTGCCAACTTATATACCCAGCATCCCTCTCGTGTTTTGCCGATGTGGGACTCTGTCTAAAGTCTAGGGTGTTACAACGATGGATCTCCATTAATGGCAAGGAACAATATGAGATGGTTTACTAATGGCAACAGTATGAATGGACTAAAAGTATAACATAGGGCAAAATTGAGCAATTTCGGATAGTACGTGGCAAATTTGTACCTTTTCCTTTTGCAAAATCATATACTTATTTCTTGCCTATTCTTTGTCTTACCTACTGATACCCTTTTCTTGATAGGTCCACTCTAGAGGAAAGGCCCTTGCAAAAGATGTAGACTTCGACAAGATTGCTAGGAGAACACCAGGTTTCACTGGTGCAGATCTGCAGAACTTGATGAATGAAGCAGCCATCCTGGCAGCTAGGCGTGACCTTAAGGAAATAAGCAAAGATGAGATATCTGACGCTCTGGAAAGAATAATTGCTGGCCCAGAAAAGAAAAATGCTGTTGTCTCAGATGAGAAGAAGAAGCTGGTTGCTTACCATGGTACAAAAACACTACCTGTCAATCGACCCTTTCTCATGAACTATTTATAGAACAATCATTCTAAATAACATGTGTACATTTGGATTACAGAGGCTGGCCATGCTTTGGTTGGTGCACTCATGCCGGAGTATGATCCCGTTGCCAAAATCTCTATAATTCCGCGTGGCCAAGCTGGTGGTCTTACCTTCTTTGCCCCAAGTGAAGAGAGACTCGAGTCTGGCCTCTACAGCAGGAGCTACCTGGAGAACCAGATGGCAGTTGCACTTGGTGGAAGGTCAGTTTACAATGGCATGCTTAAGAATCTCATATTGGAAAGTTTCTTTTCCCTTTGTACTATTCTTTTTATCTGTCTATCTATTCTATTCTTACTTCCTGACTTTGTTTGCTTTTGCAGAGTTGCTGAGGAGGTCATTTTTGGACAAGACAATGTTACAACTGGGGCATCTAATGATTTCATGCAAGTTTCACGAGTGGCGAGACAGATGGTTGAGAGGCTTGGTTTCAGCAAAAAGATTGGCCAAGTTGCCATTGGTGGAGGTGGAGGGAATCCTTTCTTGGGCCAGCAGGTACTCATTTTCTTTCAAACTTAAGTCATAAATTGTTTCAGTGCACCAAAGAGTGTTGTTAGCTAACCATGCCTGTTATTTGCATTTGTTACATAAAAGATGTCAACCCAGAAAGACTATTCCATGGCTACAGCCGACATTGTTGATGCTGAAGTAAGGGAATTGGTGGATAAAGCATACGCGAGGGCAACACAGATAATCACAACTCACATTGACATCCTACACAAACTTGCTCAGCTGCTGATAGAGAAGGAAACTGTTGACGGTGAAGAGTTCATGAGCCTTTTCATTGATGGCAAGGCCGAGCTGTATATTTCATAAGTCATCAATGTATCTTCAGTGCTAAGTTGTAAAAATATTATACATACAAATGTACACATTGGAAATTATTTTCACAAATTATAGTGAACAAACTGCCATGAGAATCTACAAAGTGAGTAAATCAATCCTCAGAGTCTCAAACCAAATGATACAGGAGCTTGGTTAATTTTGCAAAATCGAAAACAATTGATTGGACCAGGGCTACAAAAGAATGATACAGATTGGGCAGTATCAAGATCCTCTTCCACCTCGCTGCCTTTTTTCTTCTAGAGTTGCAGCCTCATTCAACATATCAGCTGCATCTTTGTGCATGTCTAACTTGGAAAGGGCAACTGCCTGCATGTAAAATGCTGTGGACCATTCTGGGCAGACACATTGTGCTTGCATTGCATCTCTAAGGGCCGCATCAGGTTGATCACACATAAGATAGCAAAGGCTTCTCCGAGCATAAACAGTTGGTGATACCATTGTTCCGACATCTATGAACTGCAATAAAGACAATAAGATACAAGCATATATATCTGAAGCATTCTTTAGTTGGTTCATGCTAATCCAAAATTGAAAAAGCTAAGCAAGATACAAGCATATATCCTTAATCTGAAGCATTCTTTAGTTGGTTCATGCTATCCAAAATTGAAAAAGCTAAGCAAGACACCACCATTGAGTAAAAACTGAGCTAAATCTTACATGACTCAATAAGAATAGAAGACACGAGCTATTGCTCAATGAACCACACTGAAAAAGAACTTAAGGTGTAAACTATCAAACACACGAGAAATTTGTCCCTCTAAATAAGCAGCACACGCTAATTTTTTCCCTAAAAGTTGGTTTCTGTCATGCTAGATTATCAGCAGCACATGGAGTCCATTCATTGCATAGACAAGTGGGCTACACAGAGTAACATGACCACGCCTAACAACAAGTTACCACCTTGATTAACAACACTATGTGCCTTATAGGATTAAGCGCACAGTTGTCACTCAAATGTGAAATAAAAGCCCCAGACAGAAGCTCCTCAGTTGAATAGTTGACTTAAGAGAGCATTGACACTGGTAGTGGTTTGAAGCATCTAAGGTTTTCAAACTTCGGAGAAAGACGCACAATACCTACCATTCCCACCCCTCCTGGAATGGAACACCATGTACCATACAGGATGAGGCGCACAGAAGTCACTTAAGTGTGAGATAAAAGCCCAAATCTCTCCAGTCGAATGGTTGAGTAAAGAGGGCATTGTCAATAGAATTGACGCATCGAATTTTTTTTTCCAAACTTCGGATACATTAAAAATTGGAGGAGTGCCACCTTCCATTCTAACCCCAAATTTGGTAACTTTTGTTGAGAAAGATGTACCTGAGAATAACAATCTATGGCCGTCTTGAATTCCTTGTCCCGAAATGCCAAGTCCCCACGCTTTCTCGCCTCTAACATATCCCTCATTTGTTGGGTCCATTCTTGGAAAGATAACTACATCAGTTGGTTCACCTCATCAATTTAAAGAGTGAACAGTAAAAACAGTTCTCAAGTCACATACTTGTCAGAAGAATTACCTCATTTGTTCCTTCGTCATCTTTGTAGTGTATCATCACCAAAATTTGATGAATGGCTGTGAGATCCATTCTTGAACAAGCATCGCCCATGGCAGAAAGGGGGTGCTGTGGGGTTGGAGGAGCTTCCTCATTCTTAGGAATTCCGAGCATCACATGAGATGCAACCTGAAAGCAGATGTCGGGAACACTTTCAACCTTCAGTAATGCTATTTGTCACAGTTGCTATTCATAAGAAAAATAACATATGTGCACATATGCAAAAGAGACAAGAAGATAAGACTATCTCGAGGTTGAGGAGAAACGAGGAAAGCAAGACCATATCCATAAGTTTTGGTAATTCTGCTAGCTGAAACCCAAAATAGCAAGTTTAGCAGAAATATAAGCTTCTTTATTTTCAACATGGTTTTCCAAATGAGAAGGCAGGAGAAGTTAGTGAACACACTGAGAACAAAAAAGTAAATTAGTTGGTAAACGGTGGTGCATAGGTTAGAGGACAGCATGACACTTAACAAAGCCAAATATTCAAAATCACAATACTGAGCTTTTTTAAAATACCAAAAGATTTGTTCTAAATAAGAAAGTAAAGTGAGAGGACTAACTTCAGGTTTACTTTGTAATGGACTGAGTGTTGTAACGAGATCTTTGATATTTGGTCGCTCCCTAGGTTCGTACTGCAAGCATCTTGAAGCCAGATCTAGAACCACAGTTGCCTCTTCTGTAGAGAAATTTCCCTCCAAATGTGAATCCATTAACAGAAGAATGTTTTTGCCCCGGATCATATCAAGTGCCTAACATGTAAAGGTATGAAATAAGCACATAAATCTCAAATTTGAAATCAAAAACAAGATATGTCTTTTATTAGAAAACAGAGAGAGAAGAGTAAATACTGATTAGACACCTGTGCCAAAATGGAATTGCTCTTCTTTGGGGAAAAAGCAAAGGCATATATTATACGACTAAGTTAATATTATATGTATTTGCTCTTTTTAATTTCAGATGAATGAGGCGAAGGTAGATAAAATCCAAGGTGAAACATGCTTATCTAATACAGCTCCAATCTCCTATTCTTCCTGGTCTAATGTGCAAGTGTCCTGCTAAATTTTTGTCCAGCACTGGAAGATCATGATAAAAATGGCAGGCTCTAGCCCACATTGGAGTAAATTTGATGTAAGCGAATTCCAGTCAGTGCAACCTAAATTATTATAAACATAACAACGGTTTTAGTTATCCACTTATGCAGTAATCCAACTTCAAGAACCCCCAGCAGACTATTTTCCAAGATTTCCATGTTTTTTTTTTTTGTAAAGACAACACTAGCTCCAGCTAATAATTAATAAATCATGTACTTCTACTCAGTACCTGAATATGAAGACATTGGTGTAAGTATGTAAATGAGGTTTCAATAATCTTAACCTCAAAAAAGGGAGTCAGAACTCAGTATGAAACCTCTAATATCCCAATTTCACCAGATGGATAGCCAAGTTCCAAAGGAATGGAAGCAAATAAATGTTTTAGAGCACCAAAGACCACAATGATAGGTCTCCAATAAAATTGAGAATCTCCAAAGAGCAAAATAATTATTTTGTTGGTTTGGTTGGGAGGGGGGGGGGGGGGGGAGTCTCTACGGTCTTTTGGGCCTTCTCACTATAAATATTTGTCCAAACTTGTAACAGCATTTGCATGGAAAAGCAAGTTAAGGTGAAGGTAACTAGGGACACATGAAATTCCACGCACCATATAGACCCTTTTCATTGATCAATATAAAAGTAAGAAAGCCAAGTCAGATCAAAAGGCCTGTCACAAAGATCGGTAATATTTTTAATGAGCCACAAGGCCAATGTATATTCTAAAGTTAGCATATTATTTTGGGGAACGAGCCGCAAAAATGAAAAAGGAAAAGATACATCAATGCCTTGGTATTATATTTATATATATATATATGTATATATATATATCACCATGTTTCCATAATATAGACAATTTGATTATCTCCAACAATCCAAAAAGCAGAGATGGTTTCTGCAACCGAAAGACCATTCATATTCAAGTGAAGTGGTAGAAAGAAGAATGTTACTTGGTATTACTTAACTTTTTCTTCCTCCTTTTTTGAAAAACAAAATTTACCAGTGTCCGTGTCAACTTGAGCAACAACTAATTCACAGGAATAGTTGCTATAGCACATAAGCACAGATGTTGGATAAACTTACCCACCAAGGATGGGAAAGGTGCGCTCACATTGATTGTGCTACACTAGGTATTCAAGATGATCTGATATACTTCCCTAAAATGGAATAATATCATAAATACCAGCTTACTTCATGATGATACCGCACCGGCGCACCCAGATAAGAGTAAAGATATTCTGCTAAGTTGATTCCAACATAAAACTAAACAAATTGAAGAGGAAGATAAAGAATGTTTTGGAACGTGCTCTCCAAGGCACATGTTACATCAGTAATTGGTGTGGTGAAAAAACTAATTTTAAAAGAAGAACAGGTTCAAGCAGAGCGGAGTAGATAGAGGATATATGTTGCTGATTGGGATTTAGGCTTAGTTGGTGTATGCATTCCTGCGCCTTTCCTCCTGAACATTCTACTGGAGAACAATAAGGGCACTGAGCAGCACTGACGTCATTCCCCCAATCCTCATTGATCCTTTTGACAATTCCATGTAGCTTATGATTCTTCTAGCCGCTGCAATTTGTGCATTTTGTCAATTACTGAGTACATGAGAGAGCTGGGATAGATTTTTGCACTACACTTTGGATGCATAAGTTGATTAGGGAGTATGCCTAGCAATAGTGGCTAGAAGAAGAGGAGCCTGGACAGTTTCTTGGCAGCCTGGAATTCTTGACAAGAGAGGGAAATAAAAGATCCTTCTTTCTATTCAGGAAAACCGTAAAGAATGTTTTAGTTAGGTTCACTTTAAGTTACAATTTTGATTTTATATTGCTGCCAGGTACTAGGACATGACCCTTGATAGGAAGGTGTGGAGGTCAAGGATTAGAGTAGTAGGGTAGGTGGTAGATTGTTCATTCCAGTAGGATTAGTACGCACTCTCGCATTTTGTTGGTAGTAGGTTTCTATGACTACCCGTCATTTTCTTTCATTTTGATCATTTTACTATCGTGTTGTTTTTATGCTGCTTTTACATGGCCTTTTGGTGTTGTCCCTCATTGTCTATCTTTTAATTAATGTTGTGCTTATGTTTTCTTGAGCCGAGGGTCTATTGGAAACAGTCTCTCTACCTTCAGGTAAGGTCTGCGTACACACTACCCTCCCCAGACCCCACGATGTGGGATAATACTGGGTATGTTGTTGTTGTTGTTGTTATTGCTGCCAGGTACTAGAGTCAAAGTCATTTTGGTAATTTTGGTTTGGCTAACTCAATCTGAAGTGAATTTTCCCTGATAACTCCTTAGCTAACTTCTTAGATATTTACCCATTTTGCGTAATCCCACTGGGGTCCCGAAGCTGGTAGCTCGCAAGTAACCATAAAACATTTCAGTTTAATGTTGGTGAAAGACTTCACGTTGAAGTTTTTGAGGCCTTTTGTTGTTTCTTGCGTGTTCATGAAGCATCACCTCAGGCAGTTGTTCCTAGGCAATTCCGGTTGAGTTCCCAGCGTATTATTCACTTCACTGTTCACAGGTACCAAACAGCCCTATGCCTATTTCTACCCATAAATCTTTCATTCTCGAAATCAGTACCCATCTGTGGTCTTAGCCCAAATACTTCGCTGATATTTGAACCTCAAGGTCCCACAAAAGCCCTCAAACAACAATCTTCTCTCTAACAAGTTTTCTTTTCTTTCATAAAAGAGAACAAGAGAAGTCTAAATGGGTCATGCGGTAGGACCACCGACATCAAATTACAGGGAATGTATTTAACTTACTCATCAAACATGAAAGGAATTTAGAAACTTACATGACCAGGCGGGATATGCTTTCCACTTAGGAGGTCCAAGAGGACTGTCCCAAAACTGAAAACAACACTTTCTGGAGTAACTCTCCCTGCAAAAGAAATGACAGTTTTAACAAAAACTTTCCATCTCCTAATAGCACTTAGATACTGAAATGATAGTATATAGAACACGGAGATCTCAACAAAATCTCTCATGCAAGCCCGTAACAATCTCTTGCAATATTTTTTAGTTGAAAGGATTACGTCCAGATAAGTTCAGCATCTTCTCCTCCCCCTCCCCTTCCCCCTCTCAAACCCCATCCAACATCTAACAAAAGAAGATAAGCACACAGGATGGTAGGATAAGTACACGAAAATTAAGGATCATACTTTCAACGGTGACAAAATTCTAGGCACTAGGATAGTGATAGCACATTGGCTTAGTTAGAACGGTACGAAAACGATACCGTAGCCCTCCCCAATATCAACTTCCAGCTAATGATGCCAGATACTTCCAGATTATCAAGCAAGGTTCTTGCCATAAGAAATAAACTGTTCATTTGGCAATGTCCGTCAAAGAGTTAAGGAAAATTCCCCGTACATTCAATTGATAGAGTTGCAAACATCACAGAAAATCAATTGAAAATTTATTCACTGTTGCTTTTTCCTTGGGATTAAAGAGAGAGATCCTTACTTATGTTACAGCATTTCCATCTCATTTTAGTTGGACATCTAAATAAGTAGCCATCAGCGAATGTGGCATACAGTTCAGTTGAGGCATCTCAGTTATGCTAACTATACCAAATTACATGAATGACAAAGGCACTGGCTAATATTTTCTTCATGTTATTTTTTTTATTTTATTTTACTTGCAGTGTCATTGAGCATTTTTTTTAAAGATCTCCATTCTACTTTTGTTTGATCTATTCAAGAGCCGTGACAACTCAGTTCCATTTGTAAATCAGTCTTCAGGATTTAAATATTAGGCTCGCTTCCCATGGGGAGTTTCATATGCAAGATCAGAAGGTGGCAGATCTGGGCGCCTTCTCAACAAATAATGAGCAGAATACGGATCTTAAAGGAAGTAGCGGCTTCAAGTTCTTTTTTTGTTTTAATAACGATGGCGTTCTGATTAGCTTGTGTGTACCTCGACTAATTTTATGGGATACCTGCTACCTCGCACGAGCACAGGTACGAGATAACTCTATCTATCAAGGTTTGGACAGATGGAAAGAAATCACCTACTGTTTTTGCCTCCACTGGGATTTGAACCAGAGACCTCATGGTTCTCAACCGACTTCACTGACCACAAAGCCACACCTTGGGTGCATAACGGCTTCGATTTCTTCTATGCTATGGATTTGAAATAATCTGGAGATATTTCATATGCTGCTGGAGCAAAGATTAATTCTGGCCATCAAGGACTTAAGACGTTTATCTTGGTTTATGTTCATTCAT